CGGGCTACACACAGACGGCTGTTCACCGGAATCCAATCAACCAACGATGGCTCAGTCTTGGAGCTTAGAATGACACCTACACCAGCTTGTCCCGTGAGTGCTGCATCAGCGTCTCCGGATGCGTGCAACCAATAACGAGAGGATAAGTCGGGTGCAGTTAATTCAACAACCCCATTAAGGTCATTGATCCTAGTTTCGGACACACAACACACATCAATACCCAGTGTGTCCAAGATGCGTGCGAGTGCAGCCTGTTGACCTATTTGTCTTGGAGTACGAACGTTGAACGTCGCCATGGAAACGGGACAGTGTGGCCTTATAAGGGACTGTTGCTGATAAGCGTCCGGTGCGTGTCGTAAGAAAGTGGCTGCAGATGGTTCTACTCCAGTGACACTTCGGTTGATGTCAATTAAGCTGGGAATTATAGAAGGAAGGTTAGTAATGCGGGTCGGAATGGGAGTAAGAGAAACAGGTGGAATAGAAAGGAGACGCCAGCAGTAGCATGTTTTCGCTTGTGCGCCCTGCTGTATGTAGCAGATAAAGACTGCCCTTGATAATCTGCGCGATGGCCGACGCAGGATATAGTTGGAGTTTGAGGAAATCGTCATGCTTCTTTGTGGGCTGAGATACTGCCAGGGCGCCCAGACCTAGACAGGAGGACGATTAGGGTCCTCATCCAAAGCCTTTGGCTCAAAAGCCAGTCCGCAAGGCAGCGGGGAGGTGGCAATGATTTAGTTTTACAGAAATGGACGCCATCCCATTTCAAACCCCAACCTGGAGGACCAGGAGACTGAGTTTGTCTGACCTCTCACCATTGAGCAACCTGGTAGGAGTAGCTCTCAAGCTGCCCGGAGGCACCACGCAGTATAGCTCAAGGGGTCAATGAGGTACGCAAACCGTCGCACCACGTTAAGGTCCAATTTCGTTGCGGCGGTTTTAAAAGTCACTTGCAGGTCGATCACGAATTGACGATCCATTCAGTAAGATTGAACAGTTAGTAGTGTTCGACAGATATATGCCGGATCGTCTCAATAAAGGGAATATTTCGGGGACACTTCGAAAGGAAAAGATCGGCGCCCAACTTGGGAAGTAGAAGCGAGGTTTTCCACGTAAAATGTTGGTCGGCCAGGCCAACTGTAAACAGGTTCTCGAATCGCCTGTACCAAGAATCCAACGTTACGTTGGCTCCGTGATCGCACAGGAAACTGGAATTGTTGCTAGCGAACTGGTCCACCGATAAAACTGGACTGAAAGGAAGAAATGCAAGGTTTTTCGGTTGGTACGGACAATAACCTGAGCTGTTGTCTCAACATCAGCTTTAAATCGGCATACTCCTCCGACTTGGCTCGACAATAACTCCGTCACCAATTTGTCATAGTAGTCCTAGTTTGTTTAACCTCATAGTCAGAACGGATGAAACACTTCGTCGATAGCACCACACGCGCGGAATAGCCAAACGAATTCGAATCGGTACGGCGAAAGATACTTAGCGAGATGAGACGGGACGAAAATCGTAACCTCACACGATTTTACCGAGATTCAGAGAAGAAAGAATGGCCGATAGCGGGAGTTCCTTTACTAGCCCAGTTGTAGGTAAACATGCTTTTCTACACACTCGTATTTCCAACACAATAGTGCAGTAGTGTAATGCATAACCTCTGAAGGAAGGTAAATGTTAGCAAGTACACGAGTTGCTACGTAGTGGTAATGACCTGAAGAAAACAGTTGGGTCACTGCCGCTTGGAACGGTACTCAAAGCAGTGTACCTGGAGGGGACTCAGGTGGGGTTTGCGCATTTTTCTCTGACATTTAGTAGCGGTGTCCTCGAGAAGAGTTCAGCTATGACCTGAGTAGATTGAGTCGCCGTATGGTGAAAATCACACAGGCGAGCTCAGGCAAAGTCTACACAAGCTTCGTGGAGCTGTGTGAGCTCTGCGGCAGTTTCTACCAAGTTAAGCTGAAAGCTCCATCGGCATCTGTGAGGCGATCTCGCAATGGTGTATTAGATCCGGAAAAACCAACTTATCTTTCCACCATTTTCGTAACTCAACTAAAACACATCCTCGAGGGATAGTCAGTTCCAAATGGCCACGGAGTACAGCCAGCCAGAATGCCGAGGAAATTCTCCCCCTCCGAGTGTCAGCGTTGGAACTCCTCCCGGAGCACGTAATTAATGCTATCACCTATTCACAAATCAAAAGAAGACTTGACACCAGGCTGGCACATTTACATTACGTGACACAGTCATCAAGCGACGGCATTAGCACAGAATAAACCGTGAATGGTATTATACTCAATTTAATCACCACACGGGAATGATTACATTTGTGTTCCGGAATGTCTTTGTGACTCCTGTAAACATACGCGTTATTTTATTAGCACTATTTTCATCTTGTGAGTTTCAACCGAACCATCCTACAGGACTTGTCAAGCATTTGCTTTTTTACCTGTTATAAACCATTAATTCAAATGAAGCACGAGTCCAAATTAGCGGAATCTATCCGGTCGCAGTTGTTTGTCTGCCGAACAAATCTGAGCACTTACGCCTGGTACCGACCGGAGCCCCTTATCGATGCGGATACGCCCGTGTCATCAGACACCAGCATTACTCCATAGGTAACGATTCTTAGGGAGTTGAATTATCGCCAGATCCTCAGAGCGACGAGTCCTAACCTCACCCCATCACTCTGGTCTACAAGATGAAGAAAAATACGCTTCCGGCTCCAAAAGTGTCACAGTTTCCTGAATTCACTTCTGATTTTGAAACACCTAAAGTAACTTCGACAGTCACGCGTCCATAGATACTAATAAACATGCCGAATCAACCGAAATATTCCAATGTCTCTAATTCCTCGTCGTTAAGCACAAAGAAGCTGTCGGTTCGCTGGTAGATATGCAACTCACCGTACTATGAAAGCTCTACGTCCATGTCAAGAAATGCTACCACGGCAGGGTTAGTTACGCGGCTCCGCGATTCACAAACAATAAAGCGATGTCGACCACGCTATTTTCTCAGGTAGAAAAATCGCAAGAATTGTATCATGAGATTTCCCGGGATAGAGTGTACGATACAATAGGAGGCTCCCGATGTCATGACCTCCTGTTCTCTGAAGGCGTCAGCCTCCGCCGACGTGCTGGCGGCCGGACCTGCTGAAACGCACTCAACAGCTCCATAAACCAAGTAGCTTACTCCAGGTTTGTTCAACACTCGCTGTTCCTGAGTCTTCAATATCGCGCGGCCTTGGATGAGAGTCCTCGTCAAAAGAATCAAGAGTTAAGCTCCGAGCAAGTCTTCTCCAGCACCCCAATCCCAATCAAAGCCTGGCACTGCAATGATCTGATTCTCGCGCACATTAGAGTAAAGGCCGTTCTTAACCGTACTCTGGAAAGTTGCTGCTTCACTGAGGATCACAGAGCTTCATCCTTTGCAATTTCCCTTGCCACTCCCTGGAGACACCGTTGCGGAACCGCAGGCCATGGTAGTTTGGGAGTTACGCTTAGCGCACACGGGGAGGCGGCGCTACTCAAGTGGGTATCAGTTAACGGCCAACTCTGTACCATTCTATCAGAATATTCGGTGATTTCGTCCAATTAAAGGGCTGGCAGATGCTGTTCATTACTTTTGGTAGCATGTGTGCTCACGGGTTGCAGCTGTTACCAAAGCTGAAGGACTCTTGTGAGTTTGGAGTACTGTAACATGGATCTAGGCTTGATGTACGATATGTATGATAGAGTCTGCATCAACAGAACTTTCGCACCTCGTTTTGCCATTACATGAACAACTGCGAGGGAGTCGGAGGAGACGGGTAATGACTCAAAAACGATACTAGGATCAAGGATCTCAGTTATTAAGGGGACTGACATTGAGAGAGAAATTATTACACTAACGCCCGATGTCCACGAGAGACGAAGAATGGAAGATAGAAGTAAGATCATAGGATGTTAACCTGGGCGGAAAGACGACCGGCGGAAGACTGGTACAGTTGAGAAGACACTAGAGACGACAGCGATGAAACGAGCACAACGAAGCAGGCAACAAAGACGATCCGCAGTGGAAAGGCATGAAGGGTGTCTCGCACGTAGTAGTCGATGGGATGCGAAAAAGAAGAGGGGGTGATGAGCGGCGCCAACTAGAATAAGCAGATTGGAACACAGAAGCAAACCAGATCAACAATCGAATACGAACAGCTCGAACATTGTAGCTAGTCACAGGATAGACCGTCATTCATTTAGAAAGTCCAGCCGGTTGCTTGATCACGATTGTCTAAGTTCCAACCAGTTCGCTGGGTCTATACTTTGAACGCAATTGACAATAAAGCGGAGCACTGTGTGTACTGTCACCAACGCATATTCACCTTCACCGAAAAGACCGTTTGGCTTTGAACGACCGAGGTTCGAGACAACATTGACGGGTTACGGAAGCATTCCCTAGGGTTTACATTGGACATAGGATGCTTATGCCTGGTGCTATCTGCAGCGCAGCGTAAGTCACCCATGGATGTTCACACTAATAGTAACAGATAAAATAGAGAAAGCACCACTCAATTAGCCAATGCGGGGAGGTCTTCCTAATCAAACTACCACTTCTGTTTCAAAAAACAGCTGCGGTGCACAGGAGAAAAAAATACAAATTCGGCAGGAGCAAGGGGAGTAGGACGAAATCTAGAAGACAATAACTCTTCACTAAACCCATCTCAGAGATAATGGCTAGAATGGAGGCTGAATACCGATTATCAAAAGTGTTTTTTTAAGATGATGGAAAAAGCGAGGCACACTCACAGTCCGATTGGCCGGAGGGTTGAATAGAGATCAGGAAGGAAGTAGCTTCACCGGTAAAGACAGGTCACTTGTACACACATATCATTCAGTAATGGAATGCAGTTGCAAGGGGCACAGCGCTGAAATATGACACGCGGATGTCATGGATGGGAATGTTTCAAAATCACCGGATTGTTTATTCCTGAGATGATTTTCGGTCAGAGACAAAAATACACTCAATTTTAAGAAAGGAAAAGACCAGTAATGGTATCTTGCGAATCGGATCGATCCTTTCCATCCTGCTGCGTGCGTGTCAAATCGGTTGTTGTAAAACCTGTTTCAGACGAGATGGACCGGGAACTTTGATGGGTTTCAGGAGGATGGCTGTTTCCAGAAAGCGGTACCCCAGTGGATAGTGCACAATTTGAAGCGGGTTGCAGCGCGAAAGTTACAAAACACGCAACCCTTCCAAGTTCACGCTCCAACGGACTATAACTGAAGAAATTGCGGAGGATGAGGGCAAACAACTTAGATAGGTATGATGGTGAGAAACATCGGATAAACGGTGAAACAAACACAGAAAATACGGTTGAAACAAAACACCTAATGAACCAACTTAAACAGTGGAATGAGTAATCGGAGGGTGGTGATCATTAAGAAGAACATGAAAAGCAACTGAACACGAGGTCGATGGGAAAGAGACAAACGAATAGTGTGGTCACTAGACAGACCGAACGACGCGTCGACAGCGGTGGCCTGGTGTAAGGTGAAATGAACTCTTTTGAACCATAGAGCTGAGAAACTAGAGGAGACTTAGCAGCTTATATGCCATCTCGATTGGTGGCTGCTTGCAAAAGAATTCGTAGGTCTGGGGGCCAGCCCTGTCCTCTGTACGTTCATAAGATGCATGACAGTGGAGGATGAGCCGCGCTATATCGCAGTTAGATATCAGTCATGGCGGTCCGCTGCCGTCGAGCATGGCTCAGCAGGATAAGTCGCAGGTTCGCAAGAATAAGGCGGTGGGTTCGAATCCGGGAGGATTCAGCGGGTGCGCGCTACTGACGAGTCCCAACAGGACGAAACCGCCGTCTAGCGCTTCCCTGGATGTGTGGTGGCTGTCTTCCTGAGTCTAACTGCGATGAATCTTCACAAAAACCCAGTAAACCCCCTACTATTTATGATATAGGAGACTGTTTGTGAGGCAAGTTTGGAATAAAACGGCGAAAAAGCCAAAGTGATGACCATAAGCATCCTTTTCAGGGGACAATGCGTTCAAGAGATTCCAGCTTAGAGAAGAAAAACAAGGTGGTGCTTTTCCGGACAGCTGGTCGACATATCTGAATTGTCGGCTGATTGCGACGAACAAAAATACTCACCAAAATCCTTCCATTCATAAGTAAAACAAGGTGGCGTTTGTTCGACCTCAGTCATTTGATAAATTCAATATGGCTGATTTTGGAGACCGTGGTATAGGACCACGTAATATGATCCGCGCGATCTGCCTATCGACGGGACAGTGGAGGAAGAATTTGTACAGCGAGGTTCCCAAAAAACTCATGTCGATCAACCAACGATATCTACGGTTTGTCTCGCCTACCAATCCCGTCAAAGGTGTGGGTACTTGGCGGGTTAGCAGCTGGTCTACATACCTCTTCGACCAACACCCTTTACCAATAGCCAGAGCCGTTGTGTCCGGGAGAAAGTAAGAATTTTCCAGAACAACCATTATATTAGCAAGTAATCGCCTGGCAACCATTATGTATGGGTCTCGAACATTCGGGTATATTTCAAGGCTAGAAGTGACAGCATAACATCCTGAGAATTGGTCGGATCAGCAAGCACCACAAATTTTAACAGTTGGCCTTATTGTTCCAGAAGCCAATGGTCATTGGATGAATTATAAATACGGCCAAGGTCTAACTCAGTCGTACAACGTTTTGGTAACAATCTGGCTAATGTTATTTTTGTCGAAATCAGTTTATTTTTGATTTTTACACTCGATTGGGCTAGAAGTCCTGCGGATGACTTAGGCGGTTTATTCGGAATAGCAAACGAATGGGAAGATGCAACATCGTGTTACTCTGACCGAGCGATAATTAGTGGCAACTGAATGTCGGTGTGCTATCGGGTGTTGATTCGGCAGCTGCTCGCGTAGTTGATGAGTGTAGCGACACCCATCCAAGTATTTTCTGGGTTCTCGCTAGCAATGAAGCGTACCACGAAGTATATCATTCATTGTCCAACCCCCTAAGGGATCCTGATCTCGTAGGGTGGAAAATAGACGTGGAGTTCATATATAGACGTTGGCACATGGGAACCGGCACCGTGAAACACATGCGACTATCTAGTAGAACAGTGTTATGGGAATGATCTGCGCACAAGCACTTAAGAACTATGAGGGACTAAGCTAGGTTACAGCTGTGATAGTAGACTGGGCTCCAGGGCAAATCAAATAATGGGCATGAAGGAAGCGGTCTGTTGAATTGGACAAGTGGAGATGCATGCCCGTTTAAAATCATAAGGACAACGATGTAGACCCACAAATCGCACTCAAAGTTGACAACTGGGACCAGGATCACCGATATTGAGCAACGTGGCCTTCGACGCCAAATTGTATTCTATGATATGTGGGATAGACTCTCCAAAGAGAGATCAAAAACACAAACGATCGGAAAGGAGAAGAAAAAGAGATAACACCAAAACAACGGAACCACGTGAATACCGTAGTCTGGTAGCGCTAAGCTTCACCCGTTGTGCTATCCCCAGAGGGCAATGCACATAGCCGGTCGATTGCAACGCCGTTGGATTTGTCTGATTTATAACGTAGCTCGACCTCAGACGCGGTAGATTCCGAGGAACAACAGCAAACAGAGCTCTGGTGTCTCGACACAGTAGTGTCTAACATTAAGGAACGGTGTCCACAGCCACGAATTGTGATTGCGGGTGAGGAGCTAACGGAAGCCGAATGAATACTGGGCGGCGTCTCGATGGACGTAGTATGTGGAGGAAGGGGAGAAGAGTGTGCCGGATACGAGGAGGGAACATAATTCAAGTTTTGGTACCCACAAGCATTAGAGTGGATACAGGCGTGGCGACAACGATTGGACTTTGAATTTAAAGGCGCAAGTTCCGTTGGTTCAGCACATCCAATAGGAGTTTTAAAGCAGCGACGAGAGTGAAGGCAGCCATGAGTGCAGCGGACATGTAGTCCCCTAAGAGTGTTATCTTCCGAGCTAGTTGGTCCTGACGTGGACGGTAGATTCAAAGGCTGGGGGTAGGAAGTATCCGCCTGGCTAGTCAAAAGGCTGGGGAAGTGAAGTAAATGAGGGAAGCATCATTCTAATCCAGTCGTGAAGCAGACAGGACGCAGGAAAAAGTAATTAGATGCTCTCAGCAAGGTGAACTAAACAAGGCTGAATCCAGAAGTAGTCGAAAGACCAACCCATTAGTAAAATGCAGAATGAAAATTCATCAGAGGTCCCGGAAAGTAGTAATGTTGGAAAGAAACGCTCTATGAAAGGGCATTTAAATTGGACGTTAAGATATTCATCGAAGCATCGTATTTACGTCATCCACTGCGGATATACCAATTATTGGGTACATTTTGATGAAGTCGTTGACCGGCCTATTTCCAAGGTCACCGAGAGCATTTAATTCCGCTGATTCTTTGAAAAATTGCAATATGATACTGCGCGGATAGTGCAACATATTACTTTCGACCAAATAAAACCATCGACCTCAAAGCACATTAGCAAAGCTGTCGTGTCAATCGGATAAGCATCCTAAGAATTCCAACGGCTTTGTGCAATCGTCACTCAAAGATGCGGGTCTGTTCTTTCGAGTGACATATACATAGACTTTACACATTTTGTTTTTTTCCCACTTTGAAATCATAAAATGTTTAATTATGTTCCTCCGCAATTTAGCTCATGTCTGGTGGGAGCACCGCGTGAGCAATGAGCGTGTTCGGCGTCGCGTATTTGTGCAGAAAGAGCGAGTGAACCGCCCAGCACCATTATATCACGCACCAGGCTCTGATCACTGGGCCACGTGTTGCGCATGCTAGCACAACGACTCCCCCATAGTGTGTTGTTTGCGCCCCAGGGGTGCGGTTGGATGAGGAGGAGGGGAGGCCAAACGATGATTTGGTTAAAAGGAATGAACATCTTCACTTCGAAGTTGGCGTCGGTTGGTGTCTCTCGACTGCCCGTCTGCCGTCTGAACGGCGATGAACACGTTGGGCTGGATACACTTGTTCACGGCGAAGGGCTGACATCTATGGCTTTTGTGTTGTGAAGTTCTTTGTCCCTCTCCATCCCTCTTATCTTCCCCCGCCAATAACGATCACATACTGCATGGATAATATGACACTTATCGTTTAATTACTTGCTTTTAGTGTTGGTATTCTCTAATGTATAGTATCTTGCTTTGTCATATGTCTTATCTTCTGTATTGCGGCATAGTTAGTCGAAGTGGGTTTCTCACCTTCAGCTAATGTGTAATGCTGCCTATGATTATACGCTAGCTGAAGGTGAGAAACCCACTGCAGCCAATGTGCCGAAATGAAAAAGATACGGTATATGAAAAAAGCGAGATAGGAAAAATTGCAGAATATAAGACAAAAACCAAAAATACTATGAAGTTATCATACTACACATCGGCTGTGAGACCATTGTTGGAGGGGGAAGCTAAAGGGAAGGGGAGGGGCAAAGAAACACAACACAAACGTCATTCAGGTCGACTCTTCGCAATGCCAACAAGTGTATCTAACCCAAGGTGTTCATGGTCCTTTGGACCCCATACAGGCAATCGGGACACATCAACTGACACCAAGTACGTAGTGAGGGACTTCATCCCTCTTGACCAAATCATCACTCGGCATCTCCTCCTCTTCTTCCACCCAGATCCCGGTCGCGCAAACAACGCACGATGCGGGAGTCGGTGTGCTAGCATGCGCAACACGTGGCGCAGTGATTGGAGCCAGGTGCGTGATATAATGGTGCTGAGCGGTTCACTCGCTCTTCCTGCACAAATACGCGATGCCAAACACGTCCATTTCACACGGGGTGTTCCTACCACGCATGATCTAAGCAGCGAAAGCAGCGTTGAGCGAACGTAAGTAGCTTCTTAAGGTCAGTCGATCTGGTAGGCCAAGTTTCACAACTGTGAAGAAGGGCTGAACGCACGGCTGCGTTATATACTCCGCCCTTCAAAGTGAGAGTGATATCGCGCGGACTCCACAGGGCTAACGTGTAATAACGATGTGGAATCATGCTGTTTTAGTTCATTTGAAGTCAATAGCGGAAAATGATGAAAATGCACCCACCCGAGTACGAAAAGCGTATTTTGATTTGACTTGTACAAGCTTGCGTTCCTCTGTTAGTTGTGCCCCAATAGAGGTACAGCACAGTCATTAGCTCCACCAGGATACAAAAGCCAAATTCTATAGCTGGAAACATAGCATCCTCATTGTGCGTGTAGGGTTGCCGACAGTT